CTGTCAGAATAGTAATGGAGGTATGCACTCTTGTCCGTCAGAGGACCACATTTCATTGGTCTCATTTTACCAGCCTATTTATTTAGTGACATGGAAGAAGTTAGCCCAGTATAGACAAAGGGTGGTGCATTTGGCTTCTTGCCTAATCTGGCTAAATGCACTTTTGAAGACGCCTCTTTTCCAAAGCACTGGGAGATTTCCCACACAGGTCAGGAGAGAAGAAAACAAGAGGCTTGCTATTGTCATTATGGTTTAACAACTCATTGGGACACTGGCCAAACCAATTAGACAAAAGGCAAAAATAGTGTCACAAGTATTAGAAAGGAAGAGATCAAACACTAGACCTGGAAATACATGTCAAATGACAAACTAGTAAACCCAAGATATAAAATAAATAGGCAAATTAGATTCCTTCCACATATGCAAACAGCAATTAATCAGAAGATATAATGGCAGAGATCACCCTCTCACAAAACAACAAAAAAATGACATATGTATGTGTGATTCATACCAAATATGTAAAATCTACATGAGAAACAATTTTTAAAATTTTATTTTTAATTAAAATAATATACCACCCGTCCTTCCTGTCATCCTAAGTATGCCCTCAAACCATACTCTCTTTTTCTTAAAAAAAAATCAAGATGAATCAAGCACATGCGTTTAATCTCAGCACTTGGGAGGCAAAGGCAGCCAGATCTACAAGAGTTCGAGGCCAGCCTGTTCTACAGACTGAGTTCAATGACAGGCACTAAAGCTACACAGAGAAACCTTGTCTCGAAAAACCAGAAGAAGAAAAAAAAAAACCAAGATGCACAAATAGAACTTGTTGTGTCTGTCTACTTGTATGTTTATGTTTTTAGGACTGACCACATGCTGTTGGATCCTTAGAGAAGACTAATTCTTTGCTCTTCTTTATTTACAAAATATATGTATAATATACAAAAAAGTTTTAGAAAAGAAAGAAATAAACTAAGGATTGAACAAGAGGCTGGCAAGACAGCTCAGTAGATAAAGACCTGGTGACCTGAGTTTGATTTCCCAAACCTACAGTGGAAGGAGAGAACTGACTGCTGGAATTTGTCCTTGGAACTCAACATGTGTGTCCATACAACACCACAATGTATACAAAAAATTTAAACAGTGAGTGTGAACAAACAGAAAAACATAGTCTGCTACTCATCATCACAAAGATATAGATTATCCTTAAGCAAAGTTATAATAAACACTATTTGTTGCCTGAAACTGGACAAGGTAATAGTATACAGAAAAGAAAAAAAGTGAACAAAGATAAAACAGGATAATTGCATAAAAGAAAAGTAAGGGAGCATTCATAACCTTACTAGATATTAACACATGCTCTAGAGCTCAAAAACCAACTGTGATATTTATGAATGGATGGAAGGTCATAAAAACTTCAAATAGACCAAAGTACATATTTTTGAATTTGTTTTTTTTTTTTTGAAAGAAAAGAGTTTATTGACACAAGATATTCCAAGAAAGGCTCTGTACCAGGCACTGGGAGACACAGAGGGGGCCTCAGCACATCAGTGGACACACAGGTTACATGCCAATACAGCAATGCACACAACATGCGGTCTGGTTACACAATTGAATTAACAATGGAACACAACAATTCGGCACCGAAGTCATTGACATGCTGTTTTCTAATTCCCTTTCCACAGACCACACAACAGTTCAAATTTGTTAAATAAAGCTTCCCAAATCAATAGAAGTAAACAAGAGCTTTCTGATTAATAATATCTGAAAAGCTGAGTAGTCATTTGGAAAAAGATTAAGTTGAATTCATACCTCACAGCACACATCAGCACAAAACCCAAACAGATCAAAGATTGAAGTTTAAAGAAAAACATTTAATTACTGTATTGGATGATTTTATGTGTCAGCTTGATACAAGGTAGAGTGATCAGAGAGGAAGGAGCCTTAGCTGAAGAAATGCTTTCATGTGATCCAACTGTAAGGCATTTTCTCAACTACTGATTAATGTAGGAGAGCCCAGGCCATAGTGAGTGGTTCTATCCCTGAGCTGCTGGTCCTGGGTTCTGTAAGAAAGCAGGCTGAGAAAGACAGGAGAAGCAAGTCAATAAGCAGCATCCCTCCATGGTCTTTATTCTTTTTTTAATTTATTTATTTCTTTATTAATTAATTAAAGATTTCAGTCTCTTCCCCACCACCGCCTCCCCTTTTCCTCCCCCTCCCCCAACCAAGTCCCCCTCCCTCGTCAGCCCAAAGAGCAATCAGGGTTCCCTGCCCTGTGGGAAGCCCTCCATGGTCTTGACATCAGTTCCTGTCTCCAGGATCCTGCCCTGTTTGAGTTCCTGTCCTGACTTCCTTCAGTGGTGAATGGCAATGCTGAAGTGTATGCCTAATAAACCCTTCCCTCCCCAACTTGCCTTTTGGTCATAGTGTTTTGTAACAGCAATAGGAACCCTGACTAAGACAATTACCAGAAGTCTGAGGCAAAGAAAGTGATTTCAACTCTTATACACAACCCAAATGCTAAGACCAGTAAAATGGCTCCATGTATTAAAGTGATTGTCTGTTGAAGGGAAGTCACTTGTTGGTTCCTGACTGCCTGGCTAGCTGAGACCTGAAATAATCACACAGAAACAGTATTAATTAAATCACTGCTTGGTCCATTAGCTCTAGCTTCTTATTGGCTAACTCTTACATATTAATTTAATTCATTTTCTATTAATCTGCATATTGCTGTATGGCTATGAATTACTGGCTAAAGTTTCCAGTGTCTATCTAAGGTGGCTCCATGGCTTCTCTCTGACTCTGCCCTTCTTTCTCCCAGCATACAGCCTAGCTTTCACTGCCTAGTTATGTTCTTCCTTGCCATAGGCTCAAAGCAGTTCTTTATTCATTAACTAACAAAAGCAACACATAGACAGAAGGACCTCTCACACCATTTCCCCTTTTCTGTTTAAACAAAAAAACTTGATGGCCCGAGTTTGATCTCCAGAATATGCATGGTGGAAAGAGAGAGCTAACTCTCACTGCTGGTCCTCTGACCTCCACACCTTCACTGTAGTTTTTTTTCTTTCTCTCTTATACACATGCATCCACACAGGCACACACACACTAAATAAAATATAAATCCAGAGACTATCTTTAAAATAATTGATTACTTTAATTACACAAAAATAAGAGTTTCTCATGAGACACACAATTTAAGCAAAATTAACAGAAAGAGGAAAAATGAATGAAAATGTTTTAATTAGTGCCAATGGCATATGACTAGCGTTTGTGATTTTATTTATTTATGTATTTATTGATTTCTTCATTTTCTCATTTATTTGTTTTTCCATTTTGGGGATCAAGCCCAGAAGTTCACATATGTTATACAGACACTCTATAACTGGGCCACACATTCCTTAACTTAAAAAAAATGTTCCTAGAAGTGGAAGAGAAAAGATAAGAAAGTGAAGACATTTTAAAAGGCAAATTGTTCATACCTTAAAAGGAATTGATATGCTCTTTAAACATTATAATGAGAATTAATTGAAGTTTAGGGTTATGCTGAGAATTCTTTTCTTGGCACCTTCCAGTTTGAACACCACACAGTTTTGTCTAGACTGTGGAAAAACTGCTGTCTTCTCCTCCATTGCTCTGAAGACTGCATTATTTGATGCACCTCCAGAATGAAGCACTATAAACTGGGGCACATAAATAGCAATTCATATTCTCATAACATCAGAGGTAGAAGTCTGAGCTCAGTGTGTTTACGGGACTTGTGAGATGACTTCCCAGGGCTTCTAGGTGTCCATATCCTCTTCCCCATATCTTGAAATTCTCAATGTATTATCCATGCTCCCCTATGGGTCTGGGTCCGAACTGACCTCAATAACCTTGCTTGAATTTAACGACCTCTTCCAATCTCTTTCAGACCAACTCCATCCCCACATTTCTGGAATTATTCACATTTTGGGTGACAATTCAGACAACAACAGCTCTTATGAAAGGAAACTTAGAAGTGATGAGCCAATTAACACAGCATTACTTTTGATCAGCAAACCCACTTTCTGGAGATCTGTTAGAGAGACAGACCTACAGTCACATGAAATGACACATACGGCGATATTTAATTTAGCCCCATTGAGGCAGAAAGAAGGATTTCAGGGAAGAGTACGTGGTGGTTTGTCTCCACAAGCCAAAACGCCCCTGTGTGAAGAGAGGAGGAAGCTCTGTAGGCATCGCTGATGGAGATCTACGGACTAGGAGGTAAGAAAGGCGAGGAGTGAAGAGCATAATAATAGCCCGTGGTCTACAGAGGAGAAATGCATGGGATTTGTAGAGACTCTGAATGTAAAACAACTGCAAGAAAGGAGACGGCTCGAACTGATTGTTGATAGGGGTATGTGACAGAGAACGAAGCAGGCAGGGTTAGAAATGGAGCTTTCTGTATTTTCTTGGCTGTATGTTTTACATTTCTAAGTTCAAGACAATTGAATAGTATACATGTGACATATATGGATAAAGGTTATCTAAGGATAAGGATATCAGTTTTCATTTGTAAATCAGGGGAATTCAAAAGAATCAAGAGAAGTTGTCTTTTTAAAGTGTAAAGTGTAGCTCACATGGCTTCTAAGCTCAGCTATGGCATCTCTAGTATAAAATGAGACTAATTCTAATCTTTCTGCTTCTGAGAATGGCTAGTCTCAGCTTCTCCAAGTTTCACCAAGTGTTTCCAAATCGCTCTTTTTGGAAGGAAAGAGAACCACAACCATTTCCTTGCTGTTTTCTTTTTCTTTGCAGAGAGGTGACGCGTTTAAAGTCCAGTTGGATTTCATGTGGACCGAAGCAGAAGCTGCCCGGATGCTATCGATCCCCAGCACTCAGCAGCAAAACGCCCTTGGGTGTGCTTTACTTCAAGCAAATAGAAGTGGGCCCCGCTGAAAGTAGGGATGCCTGGCTGGGGGTGGGGGGACCCGAGTGCTCAGCATCCAGCTGAGAGTGAGATTCCTGGAGCAAGCCCCCTTCCTGTCACAGCACCCACAGCATTCGGAATCTGCTCGCAGCCCAACCGCCTCGCTAAGGATGCTCCATCTAAAAGTGCAGTTTTTGGATGATTCCCAGAAGATTTTTGTGGTTGATGTAAGTGGAAATCACGTCGCTATGATTCCTTTATTATTCATTCAATAATGGTCATTTGTGGATAGCTCATTAGCCAGGGATGTTATGCCTGCTTTAGAACCGAATGGAGGAGGACTGTGGTTTGTAGATTTGGAAAAGAAGTCTGTATTTAATGTCACGATGTGGCTCATGTTTTCCCATTAACCTTTCTTCTAGAACATGCTCTCTTTTCTCAAGGGACATTGAAAACAGATTTGAAAAATACGCTAAGTATTTGTGAAAAGGCAGCAACGACTCAGTTCTACCCAATAAGGCATTATTGTTCATTGGAATTATTTATCTGTAGTCTGAGGTAGATTCTGAGGGAAAGGAGAGGGGAAGGCTGCCTTCCTTTTCGGAGGAAAAGCTACGGGTTACAGTGAGTAGAGTTACAGTTCTAATGAGAGCTTCAGGAAGCAACGCCACGAATGAAGGAGAAAAATAAGATAAGAGACGATTTAGTTTGATTTGGTACTTAGAGTTCAGAGTTCTTAATATAATTCCTAGCTACAAGATGATTGCACACAATTATACCTCATCTCTTCAAGAAAGAACAAATGTATTAAAGCACATCATCTAATGCTCAAGCTCCAACATCCTCACATCTGTGCAATTTGATGTCAGGATTTCTGCATGAGCATTTTGAAACGTTCTACTTTTCTTTTTATTGGAAGGCAAAGTGCTGTTTCCTGTGATATTTACATAAACTACTAACAAGGAACAAACAGTCCATTTTCCATGAAATTTATACAGAAATGTTGCATGCGTTTTCCCCCCTTTCACACATAAAGTGACAGCTACTCTAGGCTCAGTGTGATGCGTGGTAGCCCATCTTTCCAATAAGAATTTCATTTTGCCTTGAATCATGTGTTTCGTTGGTGATGACTTTCTGGTTTTAGCTGCTATTTTGCTGTCTCTTCTTTTCAGTTTTATGTGCAAAAAGGCATTTCTAGTTCCACGGACCTGAATGATTTGTTTTGTAGCAAATGGATTCCATTAGAGTTATGGGGCATTTCCTATTCTTTCTTGGAAGTATATTTGAGGGGTGGAAAATGTCTTTTGAGTAATTTGTCCATTTGCAAGCTGGAGGCGGACTGGTGCCGTGCTCCAGAACCCAAATTACTGAGCTATATTCAAAAGATACCGCTGGAGGCTAAATTTTTAATAGATACTTTAGGCATCTCAAAGAGAAATCTTTGACAAAAAGTGACAGAAGAGTTTTATGAATGTGCAGTTCTAATTCAGATCCAATTATATGAAGAGTGGGGAGCACAGCACTGGAGCTGCACAGACTTCACCTCCCTAGGAGCCAGTTCCAGCAGCTGGAAGGCAGCCTGATTTGGCTTCAAGTCAGAGTGTCTCTTTCCAGCTGCAACACATTGTGTTCCTTAGGAAGATAATGGAAGAGATTTGATACCCAGCAATTCGGGTGTCAAAGTGTCCTATCCCTTTTCCTCAGTGCAAGGCTGCACCACGCGTAGCAATCATGTGCCTTCCTGAGTGGGAACAGCACAAAATGCAGTACTATAAGCAGCTTTGTGGGGAGGGAAAAGGGCTCAGCATCTGGCCATCAACACGACAGTGTCTCCTTACCAACAATATCCATAGTGACGATGGTGGTGCTGGTGGTGGTGTTGGTGGTGGTGGGAGCAGGCTCAGGGGATGCAAGACCACTGGATAACTTATATCACCATCACAACATAGTGTGTGAGGACAAAGTGGGAGTTTTGAATCCAGAACCTCCCCCCACTCTTCCTTTGGCAACTGCATGCAGAAATCTCATCTGTCAGTAGTTGTCTAGGCCTGAAACATGGCTCATGAACATCATTTTGTATTGTCCCCAAAGGATATATAATTTAGCATACAATGAACATTTGTGGCTTTTGTAAGCCATTAGCAGGTCCTTCTTTCCTTACCCATGAAAGAGGATGTATGCAGCAAGACGGTCACTAGACATCAGGGGCACCATACTGAAAATTTGCTCACTAATTTTGATGCCTAAAAGCAACAGAAATGGTAAGACTCTATCACCTCCAAAGTGCTGGGATTACGGGTTGTCATCAGTTACATGTTCAGTTTGAGGCCAGCCTCAGCTACGTGAAACCCCAGCTTAAAAGGGCAAACAAAAAAAACAACTTGAAGAAAGTTCTCTTACATTAGCATTCATATTTCAAACAGATTCAAGCAATGCATGGGGTTATAAGGAGGAGATCTTATTCATAGCCCAGAAAAGCCATGTGATAGGGTTTCTGATAGCAGACTGAAGTCAGAAGAAGTTTGGGTCTTTCCCAGGGAAGACTGTCCTTTAAAGATAAGGTTCAAGAAAGTAATTTATTATGCAAGCTAAAATAGTGGCCAGTTAGGCATCCGTGCCAATTGTATAGCACATATAGCAGGGTAGATCTAAAAAGCACATACTATCAGATAGAATAATGTTATCCAAGAGAGTAATAAAAATTCAGAACCATTAATCTCTACTCCAGTGGCATAATCTTTATGATGTTCTCAATATTCAAGATCTGTCTCAGGCCTGTAGATTGAGAAGCCTCATTTGTTAAGACTCAATAAGAGCTGAAATCAAAAACTGATTACAAATCCTCAATGCCAAGGTCACCATTTCGAGTGGGATTATGTACACTTGGGTCTTCCGATTAAACACTGAGAAGGCCAAATGATGTTAAAAGTCAGGTCTGAGGAATGTGGTATGCAGCTCTCATATTTAACAGTTTGGCAAGGCATCTGTAGCCAACCAAAGCCCTACTAGTGACACTTATTAATTACTCATTTATTAATGTAGCTGTTTAGTTAAAAATTACCACTGAAGATCTCGTAAGTCCAGGCTTTATTCTGTGTGTAGCTGACTATTACAGGGGTAGGGTAAAGTTCTTTTAAGCAAGAGCGTACTCTAGCCTAAGCCGTGCTAGCTGGGCAGTAGCTTGGCCTGGGTGATTCCTTCTCCTCTTGTTGAGTTGTCGATGTGATTAGTGTACATTTGTCCTAGTCTGGTTTTAACTTGCTAAGCCCTTTAGTTAGATTATTCAGAAGAGCATCTGGCTCCAGAGACATCCTGTTTGCCTGGCGTTTCTTTGCTCTAAGGCAATGTGTGCTGATCTTACAGATGAAGCGTCTGAAAATCATCGTCAGCCTTTTATGTGTTTAGGGCAAGGCAGACAGCTTCAGCACTGCCAGAAGGTCCCTGCTGAAGTACGATCCTAGGAGGACCATGGAGCGAGAATCTCATCTTGGTTTTCAAGTCCCCATATATATTTTATAAAATGTATCATTGTCAAATTCAGGCAACAACCTTAGGACCGCTGTTAGCATGCTTAGAAGATCAAGGGTGGCTTTTTGGATGCTGAGACTGAGTGGGCAAGAGGAGCTATAGAGTCCTATCAGATGGTTCAAAAAGTGATTACAAGTTTTAGTGCAAATTCAGTTTTGCTCCTTCAACAAAGGGAGTAGAAAGAAAAAAGAAAGAAGAAAGAAGATATGGCTAATACTAAACTTTTCTGGGTTATTAGAGTAGAGCTTAGGTTTTGACATTGACTACAGATCCCTTATTCCTCAGCATATACACACCACAGCAGCACAGCTTTCTTAGAACTCGAGCTCTTTGCTCCAATTCCACTTAGATGGAGAGTTTTCTGAAACAGTTATCCCATCACCACAACTGGCCTGATGTCTACACACTCCCTTCCTCTGCTCTGTTCTGGTCTCCACCAAAGCTATTGTTTCTGGATTTTTCAAAACCACATTTCACTTGATAGTTTCTAGACGCTAAAGTCCAAGCAAGAGGTTGAAGTATCTCTGCTTTGACCTTTGTCTGATTGCTAGGTGATCTTGCTGACCATCCGGTGATTACCCGGTAGGAGAACAGTCAATCAGCTCATCTGATCCCCTCAGGAGCTCACAACAAAGGTCACGGGCTCTCATTTGCTAACAAAGACAAAGGATAGGCAGTGTGTAGACCGAGCATTATCTAAGGCAAATGGAAAAGCAAAGCACTGCCCAGTGATTATTTTTTAATCAGTAGTGGAATTTACTTTGTAGGTACTTGTCTAAAGTTGTTTTTTTTCCAATTTGTAGTGATGAGGGAACTTTTGTAATTTGGTCAGCAGTGAATCGGATAACTTGTCCCACATCACAAGGCTAGGGTTTTCCAACGCCAGTGACAGGGATTGCTCTGGTATAATAAAATGCACCTGGATTTCAGGCTGCAAAACCTGCCATCTTAGGCCAGTCACGTCTCCTCTTTGATCTTGAGTTGTGAGGGGTAACGAAAATGTGATAATGTTTATCTGGAGTCTGATAAACCAGGATAAATTGGAATCTGCGTTTACAAGCTGTGGGGCCTTGAGGAGCTTATCTGAATCTCAGCTGAATCACAACTGTCAAAAACAAGACTTAAAAGCATTAGGAAATTTCCCCCAAAGAACAGCTCTTTAGGCTGTTGAGTAAGAGGGCCCCGAGAGAATAAGAGGCGAAAGCTAGAATGAAGGGGCGATGGTGACTTCTGCAAAAGACAATGTGAAGATGCACGTGCAAACGAGACCAGAACGTGGTCTTTTCACAAAAGGTCATTTGGATGGCTGGATTGCAAGGAAGACAGAGATTGATTGAAAAACCAAGGTTCAATACAGATTCCATTTTTGTTCAGGCACTACGGTCTACCTGTGACGAAGTCCAATCTATCTTCTGAAGTTGATGGAGAATTGGGGAGGCTATCGATGTCAAAAAGTGAGGACATTAGAATAAGCTTGGTTTATTAACTTATATGTTTAGTTGCCCAACTGATATTTAGTCAAAGATGTGTGCTAGGTCCTTGAGAGAGCAGGTAGAATCTGGATGATAGCAAAGTCAGTGGCTCTAATTTTACAGGTTCAAAGCACTTTCTAACAAAAACCTGAACATCAGTATTCTAGCCAGATAGGGTCTGAAGGAATTAACACCATCTAATCTCAAAATAAGCCAGGCTGGACTAT